TACATGCATAAGTTTCACAAGATTTTGATGAAATACTAGCGACAACATTCTTAATTTGATTTAAATCTAACCTACACATGCCATCATTTGGAAGGATATGGGAAATGTAAGTTTTTGAATTTGGACTTCTTGAAAGGTCACCCAGCTTAATATTATTCTAACCCAAAGACACTTAACCCCAAATATCCCAAGACTTTTAACCGATTGAAAAAGGGGGTGCATTCTTATTCATGGGCTCTTTCCCTTTATATTTGAACCCTATGGATCGTCTTTCTGAGTCATTTTCTTTGGTTTCTTATAGAAAACTCTCATAGATATAGGGCATCATCCCAATAATGATATCATTGTAAAATGATTGAACTAATTATATATATAATCCTTAGTATTCCCATAGAAGAACTCTAGCTAGATGTGAGGATTAGCAGTAAAAGTAAAAGTTGCACAATATATTATAAATGCCACTATTAATTAAGTTTAATGTAAGGAACCAACTCCCCAAGGTGTCGTAGGTTAAAGGATCCCCGAAAGCATGACCGAAATGACAAAGAGTTCATCGGATGGGACCGAGTCGAAGATCGAGTCCAAGACTGACTCTGAGACCGAGTTCGAGATGGAATCCGAGGCCGAATCAGAGACCGAGTTTGAGACCGAGTTCGAGACAAAGTCCGAGATCCAAACTGGGTCCGAAACCGAGTCCGAGGTCGAGTCCGAAATCAAGTCCGAGATCGGGAAGGAACTCTCTAGTGGTGCTTCCAAACAAACTTGAGGTTGAGATTGGGGCCAAGGGGCCTTGGGTGGGAGTGAACATGGACTTGGGTGGTGCCGAAGGGGCCATCCAGGGAAGTGCTCAAGAGCAGCTCCCACTCCCAAAAAAGAAACCAACTACAGTGCTCCTGGCTCATGTGGAGTGGTGCCCCACTTGAGTACCTTGTGGCTCATTGGTACTCGCCCTTCCTAGGGGCTTGGGCCTTCCTTTCAGGCTGGAAGTAGGGGGGAGGGGGGGTAGAGGTACCCATACCGAGCTGTTAAGCCACGGTGTTTCGCCTCGATGTCCCGAAACAAGTGTTGCACCCAAGGCTTGGGATTTAGAGAGTCCTATGATCAAGTCTTGCTGTACCAAGGGGTATTAGGAACCTGGAGGCTTGGTGTGCATGGCTGCTTGTGCCTATGGGGAGTGTAGCCAAACTTTAAGTCCAGTCTAACTCGAGGAGGGGGATTGTGGGAGAGATTTGGAAACCTGTGGATAGATAGCTAACACTCTATTGCTCATGTAGTGAGTAGTTGAAACCAAGTAAGACCAAATAGGAGCTGGTACAATAGGTGGGAACTTTGGCGAGGGAACTTAGCACAAGCCAAGGCAATGTTGGTCGGATAGACGAGGTAAACTGGCAAATTGGAAAGAAAAAATTTGTAACTTACATTTGATTATTCAGTTGCAACCACATAACATCAAATACTGATGCTCTAGAATCCAAGGAGGAGAAGTCATGAAAAACTAGATCTAAACCAAAATTATAAATCCAAACACTTTTCAAGGATAATTGAAGTTACTTCTCACCTCTATCAGTATAAGTGCATAGAATATAAAATGGTATGCTAACTTGAAAACCATAGTTTATATAACAGAATAAGTGGTTCGGATTTAAATCAATCTGATAGTTACCAAAATCCCACTACACTAATAATAGTATACAAAATTAAATCTGTACAATTTTATGATTTGTAAATAATTATTTAATTAAAAATTAATTATTATATAAAAAAATTGAGATTATTATATAGATTTAAAAGCTATTTATTAAAAATATTATACTTTATATACATTATCTATTTCTCAATTTTCAACACTTATAATTGAAACTTTTGAGACATCATATTGTGATGTTCTTTTTAAAAATTCAAATTTATATTAAACATTTGATATTAGTAGTGCTTAGAAAATTTCAATACAATTTTTAAATATGCTAAATAATTTATTGTGTGTTTCATAATGTTTGGTTCACTGAATAGTAGTGTTATTCTTCTCTCTTAATCCAATTGATCAAATGAAAGTTTATAACTATAAATATGTTAATAATTTATTAAAAACTATTAATATTATTGCATATAAACCATTATATGGTAGAATAAAAAATAATATACAAGAAAGTGTTTATAGGAAAAATTTATAAATTATAAACATGCTTATAAATGCAAAATGAATCTAAATGAATAACAACCAATAGATGGTAGAATATCCTAGAATATCCAAGTATATTCTAGGTTTATGCACTAACCAAAAAGAATTTATTTTTATTTTATTTAAAGTATTTATGAAATATCACTACTTTATAATTTAAATTATAGAAATATCATGAAGTTTTATTTAGTTTAAACCTTTTGTGAATATAAAATAACACATCACCCAAAAGAATGATCAAAATTTCTATGCTATTTAATAAGTGTAAGATATCATAGTTGTAAACCTATTTTTCTCTTAAGAGATTATAATTTTTAGTTTGCTTAGGCAAACCTCTCTAGGGATTGCGATGGTACTGGATTATGCTTAGATATTCTAGGATATTCAACTATCTAGCAGTTTTTATTCATTTAAATTAATCTTGTATTTCTAATTTATATACTTTCTAATATATATTTTTTTATTCTCCCATCTATGCAATAAGATTAATCTTGTATTTATAAATTACAAACATGCTTATAATTATAAAATTTATTTGATTAGTTAGACTAATAAATAAGAATAACACTACTATTAAGCAAACCAAATGTTTCTACATGAAATTCATATCAATTTATTTAAGGTACTAGACTTATGTCATTTTCATTCTTCTTTTATTAAATTGTGACACAGAAGGATGAACTTTTGACATACAATGCTTTAATGGTGCTGATCTCATTATAAACCCGTTCTCTTTGGAAATGTGGTCATATTGTAGTTGAATTTAATATGTATTTATTTTATTGGCTTCCATCATTTTGTAATAATGTGAATTTATTTTTGGATGTAAATTATTTTATTTCCTTAATATCTACTATATGTGCTGGTCAAAACTCTTAACCTCACGAAGTTACATAGCAATTACTACTGTAAAATATCCTCCGAAATGAAATATGTAGCCCAAACATCATATTCTAGAGAACTTCCAGTGCAAAGAATTGTATTGGCCTTGTTCTGTTATGCCTCTAAAAGAAAGTTAGACTTGGAAAGTTTTATCTAAAAATCAATACATGTTTTGCAAAATGGCTTGGTTGGTGGCACCCTCTGTAATAATTTTGTAAACTATAGGAATTCATAGTGCACATCTTTTTTCATACCCTCCTGGGAATTGTTTGAGCTTTAAACAAGTCGCCTCTCCTTGAGCACTTGACTCAATACCCGTGCCTTGCTCAGCTGCAGAGGTGCAGCACAAACCAGCAACGTACACCGATACGTCTGTGTGTATCACGAAAAGGATGAACTCAACTCGCCGGCTCATACATCCACATCCTCAAGAGCATGCTCCTGCAGATTTTCCCCAACCCAAAATCCCAAAGGCTTGAAAGCAACAACCAAGCTTTGTCTTTCAAGCAAAAGCAAAGCTTTTGTCCGAACCGTGTACCTCTAGCTGCTCAACGACAGTGTACGCACACGACTGTACAGTACTTGGAAGAGATCCCTCAACTCAACTCTTGCTTTTTCCCCCTGTTGGAAGTCAGATTCGGAAGAGCAGGCTTTTACAGTCAGTCAGGTTCCTCCCTCCTTCTAGACTACTAAAACCAGAGAGAATCTACCACGGAATCCGGCGGGCAACAAGGGGAATTTCAGCATCCGGAACCAGCATTCTTCCTCGAGAAGCCCAAATAAGCAGAGGACAGGAAACAAGGACGGAAATGGAACAAGGAAGCCAGCAAACGAAGCAAGCTCTCGGAAGCCATATCTATCCATGTATTAGGGCTCCTGCTGCTAATGCAGCACTCTGACTCTGACTCAAACCGGCTGCTTCAGAGACCCAACTGACACACGCTGAGGGTGAGAGACGAAGGAGAGGTGAGGTGATAAGAATTTTGTTTGCTTTTAAAACAAAGAAAGGCTCTGACCGAGAACATGCTGCCATATGCCTGATCATGAATACTGGAATAATCTCAGAAAGGTGCCGCTGCATTTTAAACAAGAGAAAGATCTGGCTGCCTGGCCGCTGCTGCAGCTGTTGCCGCTGCTGCTGCCGCTGATGCTGCTTTGACCGATTTCATCATCCATCATTCGCTCTTTCGTTTTCATTCATTCTGTTTGAGCTCACTCCTCTCATCTTTTCTATTCTCTTTGAAAACAAATGGTCCATGGTCTCGGGCGATTTTTAAAATGCCCTTCGCACTCACTCGAATTACTCGCGATGGAGCTTTCAATTGTCTGAGCCGCTGCTGCTGCTGCTGCTGCTGCTCCTGGTGCTGCTGAGCTGAGCGCACTCCTGAAAGCGAATACGACGACCCGGAATTCTGAAGTATGGATTTGATTCCTCGCGGAAGACATATACAGAGAGACATGTCTCCATACACTCTCCTCTTTCCATTCATTTTTCTCATTTCCCGTATTGGATGCAGATATACACCATCAACTTGCAGAAATTTTTCTGTTATGTAATATCTTCTCTTCAAAAAGGATGGCACTTCTTCGAGGCCTAGGACCACCCCACTAAATACTAGCGCTTGGTACTACTATACTACTCTACACTTCTACCTTGTCAAAGACCAAAGACTGCAAGTTCAATTCAACTCTCCATTTCTGTGTCAAGCGCTTTCGAAGACTGATTGAGCAAACAACACCACTACACACATAGACACACACACACACACATTCGGAGTGCGTCGTCCATTTCTCTTTCTTTCTTTCGCCCTCCATGGACGTCAGGAGCTCTGGGACAATCAACAACAACGCTACGAGACGACACAACTTGAGTATATAAAAAAGCCCAGTGGAGGTTTTGTCAATCGCCCTCCCCACACTCCAACAATCAAGTTGGAAGCACAGCGACTGAGAATCTGAAAGAACATTAGCCTATTTAGTTTTTTCTTTTTTTCTCATGCATTTTTTCTCCTTTTCTTTTTTTTTTTTTTCCTTTTTTCCTTGGCTTCAGATGATGATAGCGATGATATGTTGGTTGATGATGATGAAACATTTACACAAGCAAAAACGACACTCGAGTTGTGGACTGAGCTCATCAGCCCTTCCGTCCGACCAACGCAACAGCATCTTTTCAATTCTTGTTCTTGATCCTCCTAGCTTCGACATTGCCCTTCGATCGACCCGGAACTTTCGGGCGGAGAGCTGGAACGGTCGAGATAATTGTCGTTTCGTGCTGGATTGTGCGTCCAGGAGCTGACTGGCGAGACCCACAAGTCTTTGATTGGGATACAAAGAGAGAAACGATGAAACGAAGGCCAAAGATGGTGGACGAGACGAACGAAGGGAAAAGAGACAACTTTTCTTATACTGAAAGAAACTCTAGGGAATTTAGAAACAAAAAACAAGAAGCTACGATGCTTAAATTCTCTCGCTGCGTGGCGCTCTAGATCCGTGACTCGAAAGAGAGAGAGAGAGAGAGAGAGAGAGGAAGGTAAAGGAAACTAGAAAGATTTGAGCGAACTAGAAACCACTTCCGACTCCTCCATGATCGATCGACGATGGATGATCCTCCTCTCACTCCTAACTCGCTCATAACCAGAGCGCCCCGGCCTCCTTGAGCTGAGGCACGAGCGAGCCGGAGATGTGGGCCGCCATCACCTGATCAAGGCCCCCGATGAGCTTGCCGCCGATGAAGACGGTGGGCACGACCTGCGAGTCGCCCATTATCCGGGCCAGGGCCTCCTCCATGTCGCCACCATCGCTCTCCTCGTCCATCTCGTACACGGTCGGGTTCACGCCCAGGCTGCACAGCAGGCTCTTGACGACGTGACACATGCAGCAGCTGCTCATGCTGAAGATCACCACCGCGTTCTCCGACACCATGCGCTCCACCCTCTCCATGGCGCTCAGCGCGCCGTGGCAGTGGCCGCCGCCGCCGGATCCCATGAGCTGGAATGCCGTCGAGGCGTGGCTGGAGATGTCGTACATTGTCACTCCCGAGAATTCGGAGAGATGCCGCGCGGAGGCCTGGAGAGCTAGCGCAGTTCGCAAAGATGGAGGAGGCGGAGGAACTGGAGCAAGCGTGCGAGAGAGCTTCTATATTCTTCTGCGGAGAGAGGGACGAGGACGATTCAGGAACAAGACAGTGGCAGCCGAGAGCTGCGAGAGTGACAAGAGCTATCACAAGCGACAAATGTGCCTTGGCCAAGGAAATCTTGGATATGTCGTCGCGCGATCGATCACAGCACGGCCACAGCACAGCACAGAGAGAGCAGCACAGCGCGCGCCTCCTCCAAAGACAAAAAGAGAGCTCGCTTCGTGGCTTCTTCTTTCTTCTTTCAAAGAAAACCAAGAAACGGGAGAGGCGAAGATCGACCGATCACACTGCTGCTTTGCCGATGGAGAAAGATTCGCGGGGCGGAATTGGGAGCGGAGGAAAGAGAGCTGCCGCGGTAATCTTTCCGCCAGAGGCGAGGGAATGGGAGGCGGATCAAGAAGGCGCAGAGCTGTGGAGCGAGCAATGCGGCGGAGAAGCTAGCAGCATGCACGATCGCGATCGAGAGAGAAACACCCAAGAGCCCCGAAAGAAGCAAAATCCCTCTCCTCTCCCGGACGAAACCAGAAGAAATCCCGAAGAACACAAGCAACAAACAAAGCCAAAAACCAAAAGCGCTCTATGTGTTTTTACCACCCACTGTTACCGTGACCCCTCCCGGCATTGCTTTATATACAGGTGATTGGGTGGGGTAAAACAAGTTAAACGCCTTCTTTTCGTTTCACACCGGAAGAGAGAGAGTGCCGCGCATGCATGCATCCATCCCACATTCAGCCATCCCCATCCATCCAAGATTTTATCTTCCTGCCACGCAAGCACTGACGTGGCTGGTGCTTTCACTGTGCACGTCAGCGATACCGCCAGCGTGGAGAAAGGTCCCCACTTTCTCGCGCAAAAGCAGAGCCAAGAAAAGCTTGCATTGATATGAAACAATGAATTCAAAGGCTTACATCACATTGAAAACAGCCAGGGATGAGAATCTCGCAGTTGCAAGCTATTTTTGACCTAATCGGCATTGATACGTTAACATGGAGGAGGAGCAATCACGCCTTTACAACAGGAATATCATACACTTGCAATAATGAATTGATCTACCAAAAGCAACGACGCAAACAGTTGATAGATTGCCCCCCAGATACGCAATGAGTCCACCTTCTTAGGGTTGGCATTTTGACTTGGGGGAATCATTTTATCTTTTCCTCGACTCCCGATCGAAATCAGCTTGAATCACATCATTTGCGGCATGGAATTTCAAAGGCCATGGTACTGGCCGCGGGGGCAATCATAGGTTTCCCACTTTGTTCAACCTACTCACGTGCGCTTGCAAGTTAAGAAATCCCCACTGTTGATCATCGTTCCCATAAATCTAGTGCTTTTCTCATGTACTAAGTTCATTGCAATGGGACATTCCCAAACCCGCACATTGTCAAGTTCCATGGCGGATCACCAGTGACCTAGTTTCCGCTAGACCCCCTTTTGAAATTTTCAGTCTCCATCTCTCTCTCGCCATACAAAGTTACACCAAAGCAAGGCAAGTGGTCTTTTTCCTTGCCAGCTGGTTAAGTAAGGCCAAAGCAAATTCTTATGTTTTACCAACCCCCACTGGCAAAAGTAAAATTTCGCTTGTCTCTTGATGATCCATCCCCACTACCATATCAAGAATGAGGATTGAAATGTTGCCATCAAGCAACGTCTCATGGACATCATGTGGCCATTTCCTTTTTGGCTTTGCAGCTGCCCGCGAAGCTTTGACGTCATGTATGCATCCCTACAAAGATCACTACCATCATCCATGATGTATGCATATTTCCATGGTTGGTAGTTTTTAATCACTTGCGACCCTCCCCAGAACTCGTCGGTTAAACCATAGCCTTTTGGGTCCGGAATAGAATGAGGTACCTACGTATAGTCTAGTAACGTCCGGGCGTGCCGTACCAACCCCCCATGGTAGATTTTCTCCCTTCAATCACCAAGGTTTAAGCTAATCATCTCCTCAATCATGGAGGCAATTTTTTTGTGCTCGAGTGTGAATTATAAAAACTTTGGGAGTTTGCGTTTTCGATACGTATTCCGAGGCCGGTCGTATGTACCAACCCAAATCCCTATGGCACCTGTGCGAGATATGTTAAATGCATGTGCTATGAGCCTATAGCTTAAACCTTGCTTGCACCATCGCCGCCGGCGCGTCTCCGGCTGCCACGTGTGAGCCGTCACCGCCACTGGCACCGCCCTTTTCCATACATAATGCGATCGAGCGGCCTATAGACTACTGGCGGGGATTTGCCACGTGGGACGCCCCCTACGTTAGCGATTGCGTGGCGCGCTGTGTGTTTGGTATCTATGTCGGATCCTTTGCATGTGTGTGTGTGTGGTTGTGATATTGTAAAATCCCCACCTTTTCCAAGATTTAAAAAATCGATCACTATATGCTTGCCATATGCTCTGGATATCGCAAATCAGCAAACCGGAGCGTACATTCGTTGGTGTTTCTTTTCGCTTTTCCCTTTTGATTTCTTTTTTATTTTTTATTTGGGCCGCGTTGGTACGGCCCCGGCTAAAAGCCAAATCAGCAGCAGAGTCAGGTGGTCGTGGCTGCCGTCACGCAACCACGTCAGTGGGGATGACAGGATTTGTCCGCCCACGCGCCCCAGCCCTAAATTTTGCAAAGTTAGTCAGCCCTAAGTGTGTGACGCGCGCGTGCGCTTGCGTCGCTCTCCCTGCCTTGCATGTTTTCGATTTCTTACGCCCTCGAGCCGATTTAAAACGGAGGGCGTAAGAAATCGCAAAAAAACATTGACCGTCCGGAAATTTTCTGCCTGCATGAAGTAAACAAGGATCTTGGTGTGGTGGCGCGATCTTCCAGGGAGCTAATTTGTGAGAAGCTAATAGGAGGAATTGGGGTTAATACGAGGAAAGCAGCAACAACCAGAACACTGATGGATGATGGATGGAGAAAGGTCTCCTGCTGTTGAGATTCTCTCCATTAAAGGCGCGGGAAATGAATTGGGCGAGCAAGCAAGGACGTAGACGCCGACGGGCGGACGGGGTGGGAGGGATGTGGAGTCAGGGGGTCGTCTCATCTCATCGTTGAATTCTCTCTTTGGAAGGGGAGATTTGATGTGGAAATCCGTGCAGAGAATGGAGCAATCTTTTTAGGGCTAGGGTGGTGGTGGTGGCACCATTTTCTTGATTCGCCCACCGTCATTCCATAGCCGCCCTCGCCGCCTTTGCGAGGAATCTGGAATGCGGCCGGTACGAACGGACGGACGATTCCCAACGGACGGACAGAGGCCGTCGCGGAACAAGGACGGCGCCGGACACTCGTGGAATATCCCACGTATGTTCCTTTTTAAATTTTTTGTAATTGCGCGCTCTCAACGGTCAAGAAGAGGGAATGGGAAATTTTTCCAAAATCCCACTGGCAAGAATTTGACAATACAACCGAATCCAGCTCTGCGCTTGCTTGCAATGCTTACGATCAAATCCCATTCTCCGATGCGCAATTGACAGACATGCCACACAGGAAATATATATCTACTTGTCGATGTTGTTTGCTGTTGATGATTTGTCAAGGTGACGCAAGACTTTACCCATTGTTTTAGAATGAGAACCGCCCAGCTTGTCAAAGACAGGGACGAGATTGTAAACTAGAGAACAACTTGTGTCTTTCGATCTGTTTTTTACGGCTGTTTTTTACCTACCAGAGTCATGTTCCTGATGACGCAAGAGATCTCTCGAGCTAGATCTAATCGAGAATAGCTTTGTAGTCCGTGCGGCATACGGACTTTCGGCTATCACAGGGGGAATAGCAGCTTTGCTCCTTGTGCATTCTAATCACACAAAACCCCAAAAGCCCCCAACACCAGTGATCTATAGATACATTGCATGTACCAATGGAGACAAAAATACTCCCAGCATTTGAGAGATCGAAGCTAGCAATCATCAAATTAATGCGGCCACCCCAAATGTTTCGCAATCCAGTCAAAGCTTGGGGTGGAAAGTTGCGTAAACAAATCAGGCCTGTTTTGAAGAAGTCGCTCCAAGGTCTGAAGGACACGATTTAAGAACCAGAGACAAAAAAATAAAAGATGGAAGGATGCAAACAAAAGCTTGATACCTGCGTGTCAGGAAGAAGTTGCCGCACGCGCCTTTTTGTCGTTGCGAGTCCGCTTTCTTTTCTCCCTGTGAGTTTCCGTGTACTGCCTCTTGGACAGTAAGTTCTTCATGGCGAGCTCGGCGGCTTGTGCAGCCTCGGCCACCGCTGCGGCCACCGAGACTGATGAGTCGGAGGGACTTCCTTGCAATACCTTGAGCATACGGTCTCCGCCAGGAACTTCGGTATCGTCCAGTGCTTCGTACGAAGACGTGGCGGGAGATTTTTGTATAACTCGGAGGCGGGTTAACGCACCAGCAGCGGAAGCTTGGGCGAGTGATGTCAATTCTGTCACCTGTTCCGGTTTCAATGCTCGATCACCGACTTCCCTTGTCTCTGCTGCACCAGCAACGAGCCACAGCCTTTCTTTTCTATCGAATTGTAAACCGGTCGGGCATATAGGTTCTTGCCAAGAGATTTTCTAACAAGACAAAAACAGTCAAGAAAAGAAAAGAAAAACCATACCTGAAGAAACAAAAGCTTTTTGATACCGAAGTCACAACGAAGTAGGATCACACCTGTAAGCCTATGCTTTGCAAAACAGTCAGTTAGTATATGCATGACGCAGGTACCAGAAACAGACACCTCTCAATTGTAGAAGCTACTACAGATCCGCTGGCTGACGTGTTGACAACGGCAGGAGCAACAAATGTATCGGTTTTATCAGTCTGTCCACAACAAAAGGACTTGAGACAAGGCAGATATATAGCAAAAATAGCAGAAAAGACCTGTAAGAGGTTGAAAATATTAATTGTATCCAGCAGGTGCCCCGAAACATGATCCCATAGACGAATCTGTGTTGGGAAAGTACATGCAAAAAAATTGGTTGTAAATCGAATGTTTAAACTTACCGTAGAGTCGCCTCCTCCGGAAACTAATAACGCTTCTGACGATCCATCACCCACAAATGCAAGGCAAGATACAAAACTGTAACAAGTTTAGCCCATGTCCACAAAGACAGACGTTGATAGTTGATGTTACCTTGTGTGATCAAGACAGAAGCTTTGGATTTCGTAAGCTCCTAGCATGGGATTCTTTGGAAGTACACTTACCTGCAAGTGTGGAAGAGTCAGCAGGGAAGAAACCAAAGAGAGCACAGCCTACTGACACGAATTTTATAGTCTCTATCTGCCGTTACAACAAATTTGCCACAGGGAGACGTCTCCTGCAGACACCCGATTCAAGGATCAGCAAGCGAGTCAGAAGGAGAGCGAATAAACCCGACCAGGCTTGTGATTATGCTGCAGCAGTGCGCCAGAAGTTGAGCTGGTTCTTCGTTTGTGTCACTTTTGTCGTGCGCCAGAGTTGGGATAACATAAACCACTCCAAATTTGTCCGCGACCAACAGCCACTGGCCATCCCGACTGAAAGCCACAGCGCTGGTTTTCTTGTTCACAGGTCTGTAAGAGTGCTTAAAATGACGCTTCCAAAAAACATGAAGAAGAAGAAGAAGAAGAAGAAGAAAGATAAGTTACATGGTTTTCGAGCACTTCCACGAGAATGTATCCCAAAGCTTGACGAGCTTATCGTCCCCGGCGGACGCGAAGAATGCACCGTCGTGACTAAATCCAGAAGCTCGAATCGCAGCGCGGTGGCCGGAAGAATCATCAACTGGAGTCACCGCTTCATTGCTCCTGGAAATAAATCACTCAGCCTCGCAAGCGCCAAGAGCGGAATTCTTACTCTAGATCGAAGACTCGAAATCCAGCTCCCACTGAGACCACAATCGCGCGAGAATTGGGGTGAATGCTGATAATCGCTGGAGCCATAGCCTGGCTTTGCGAGCCCGGATGGAATTGATCCTCACAAACCTCTTTCTCCTCCTCATCCTCGAGCTCGTCCTTGTCTCCTTCCGCTTCCGCCGTCGCCAAATCCTCCTCTCCAGCCATTGCTAGGGCTTTACTAGGGTATAGTCCGAGGTGGCATATTTCCCGTGAGTTTGGGACGCCATGTCATAGTCTATAAAGTAAAACTAATGTCAAAGCCATCAACGCGTGGAGAGTAGAGATCTAGCCTAGGCGCGACCGATTAGGGATCTTTGTGGAGGCGCCCATCGAAGCGCGCGAGGAAGATGGCCGATCAGCTCACGGAAGACCAGATCGCCGAGTTCAAGGAGGCGTTTAGCCTCTTCGACAAGGATGGAGACGGTAAGCGCTCTGATCCCTCACTGTCGTGCGAGAATCTCTCTTTGGCATTGGTATTCCGTGATGTCCAGCTCGTGAATCGATCGATTCGCGGCGCCGGGCTGCGGGCATCTGGATTGGAGCCGGGATTTAGGGTTTGATGCCCCCGAATCCCAGGGTTAGAGGCTCAGATCTATGGCATTGCTGACATGGGTGTGTTCCTGAGTGGGATTTGGGCGATTGGAGCTTGTGGGCATGACTCAAATTTTTTTCTTCTTCTCGTAGGCTGCATCACGACCAAGGAGCTGGGGACGGTGATGCGATCGCTGGGCCAAAACCCGACCGAGGCGGAGCTCCAGGACATGATCAACGAGGTGGACGCGGACGGCAACGGCACCATCGACTTCCCCGAGTTCCTCAACTTGATGGCGCGCAAGATGAAGGACACGGACTCGGAGGAGGAGCTCAAGGAGGCGTTCCGCGTGTTCGACAAGGACCAGAATGGATTCATCTCCGCCGCCGAGCTCCGCCATGTAATGACCAATCTGGGCGAGAAGCTTACGGACGACGAGGTGGACGAGATGATCCGCGAGGCCGATGTGGACGGAGACGGGCAGATCAACTACGAGGAGTTCGTCAAGATGATGCTAGCTAAGTAGTCAAGTTTGCTCGCGTCGTCCTCGTTCTTTTTTTTTCTCCTTTTTTCCCCCACTCTCTTGCTTCAGCTCTCTTTGTTTTTGTTTGGAAAGTTCTTTTCTTTCTTTCATGTTAGGACGATTTCACCACGTCGCGAAGCTTTAAATTATTGTCCTTCCTTCTCTACGTTTTTAAGATCCTTCGCTAGGTACCTAAGTAATATTTTTACACGCATTGGATGAGCCGTGGTTGGATTATCAGTAGCTTAACGTGCGGCTTCGTACGTAGTGGCCGCCGCATTTTAATTATTATCTGGACAGTGGCGGCCGTTAGATTCTGCAGATGGACGGACGCGGTTGCGCCACGCTCAAAAACGTGATTTCCCCCTCCCTCCAAGCCCTAATTCTAGCGCACTGCTTGGGCAGGGCGCGTGGACTGGAGCCCCGCTGTTCTTCCCGAGAGAATCATCCTCGCTGGATCTGGCGCTGCTGCACTGTTCTCCTTGCAGCTAAAGAGTAAGCTGCTGCAGAGATTTCGTCCTCCTCGTCGCCCTCGGGATCTAGGCCTGGAATGAGGTGAGAGAATCGATGAAGGCGTGCAATGGCGATGGCGATGAAGAGAAGCGATCGCGCGGCCCAGAGTTTGAGCCGGGGCCGATCCCTCCCTTGACGCCCGTGGACAAATACGGCTTCCTGAAGTCGGAGAGCGCCGCCGATGGATCCAACCCGGCGCGCGCAGCGGATCGCGACAGGTAGCGAGCCTCTGTTTGGAGTTTGTTTGATGGCATTGTCGTGTTCTTGATGGATTGGTTCTTACACGTTTTCTTCTTTTGTTTCTTCCTTGTAGAGAGGATCGAAGGCTCACAAAATGGAGAAAGATGATAGGCACAGGTGGTGCCGACTGGAGGCACTACGTAAGAAGGAAGCCCAATGTGGTAAAGCGGCGCATCAGGAAAGGTATACCAGATCGGTTGCGAGGACTTGTCTGGCAGTTGATTTCCGGGAGCCGGGACTTGCTGCTCATGAACCAAGGTGTTTATGAGGTAGCTATGCTTTCGTTTTTTCCTTCGTTTTTCTTGAGTAGATTCCTCGTTCCTCGTTCTGTTCTTGTCTTTCCTGCTTGATGTTTAAGCTTTTCTTCTGGTGCACTGCGACTACTTTTTTTTTTTTCCACTCACGGGGATTCGTTTTTTACGCAGCAACTTGTTCTGTACGAGACTTCGTCCTCGGAGCTGGACATTATACGGGACATATCTCGTACTTTTCCGTCGCATGTTTTCTTCCAGCAGCGGCACGGGCCTGGCCAGCGCTCGCTGTACAATGTCTTGAAGGCTTACTCCGTTTACGACAGAGATGTTGGCTATGTCCAGGTAAGAGCGACACTTTCTCACGTTTGGAAACAATGTTGTTAAGCTCCTCGATCATCCATGACCGCAGGGAATGGGTTTTTTAGCAGGCTTGCTGCTTTTGTACATGTGTGAGGAGGATGCGTTTTGGTTGCTTGTGGCGCTGTTGAAGGGCGCAGTTCATGCGCCAATGGAAGGCCTTTACTTGGTTTGTTTCATTGTTTGTTTGGACGTTCTACTGAGATCTAACTGCTTAACTCTAGGCTGGTTTGCCTTTGGTGCAACAGTATCTGTTTCAATTGGAACGGCTTGTCCGAGAGTATATCCCGAAACTTGGTGCTCATTTCGAAGAGGAAATGATAAACCCAAGCATGTACGCCAGCCAGTGGTTTATCACTGTTTTTTCTTATTCCTTTCCGTTCCCGCTAGCTCTTCGGATATGGGACGTTTTTCTGTACGAGGTTTGTATCTCTTTCTTGCTTATCTATTTTTTTCTGAAGAGTTGCGAGGCTGCTATTATGTTGCAGGGAGTGAAGATTGTGTTTCGAGTAGGACTAGCGCTTCTGAAATACTGTCAAGATGATCTGGTCAAGCTTCCCTTCGAGAAGCTTGTCCATGCTCTCAGAAATTTCCCGGAGGATGTTCTCCAACCCAATCTTCTGCTACCGATGGCTTACTCGATCAAGGTACTCACAACAGCATTGCTCTCAACTTCTCACACGCCTTCGCATAACAGGTTTCGAAGAGGCTGGAGGAGCTAAGGCAGGAATACGAACGCATGACTAATTTTTCTAAACCAGTGGAAGGCGCGATTGTCAAGAGAAGTTTCAGACGTTGAGAGCTTGAAACAGTGGAAAGTTTCAAGCCCCACTTCCTTTTCTCTTGGCTTCCATCTCCGAGGTCTCTGGATTTTAGTGGTAGGATCCTCTCGCGGCATTGGTAGCAAACTATGTTACAGTCGACCGAGATTTCCAGTGTAAGTATCGGCAACCGAGACATAGGACGAACTATCATCTCTGTTAAGCTCCAGAAGCTTTCGTGCTATCTCTCCTCCAAACTCTACGTTCTCGAGAGTTTTACACGAGGCAAGCAGCGCTCCATAATCTGGAATTCGAGGAGTGTATGGCATCGTGCGGACGAGATTGGCCGCGCATTCCAAGTGTCCAGATCGGCCCAGAATGTCCAGCATGCCGCTGTAGTGCTCCCTCAGCGGTTGGATCCCATAGTCATTCTGGAACGAAATGACCACTTGCCGTGCGATCTCCACCATGCCTTGGTGCGTGCACGCCGTGAGGACGCTCGAGATGGAAACCTCATCTGGGATTCCGGCGGCCACTTGCATCTCCCGGAAGAGCTCGATCGCTTCCCTGCCGTGCCCGGAATGCGCAGCTGCCGCGATCGCAGTGTTCCAAGATCCCAAATCGCGCTGCGGCATTCGATCGAAGATCGGGATCGCCAATTCTACGTCGCGAGTGAGCGAGGCGAGGAGGGTGTTCCAGGAATCGACATTGCGCTCCGGCATCTCGTGGAAGAGCGCCATCGCGCGGTGGGATTGCAGGTTTTGCGTGTAGGCCGCCAGCATCGCATTCCAGGAGACGAGGCTGTGGCTGGGCATGGAATCAAACAGCGATTTGGCGTCGCCCAGGTAGCCGGATCGCGAGAATGCGACGAGCAGCGTCGTCCAGGAGACTGGATTCCTCTCCGGCATGCGATCAAACAGGAGCTTTGCTTGTTCCAGATGCCCGTTTTGGGCGTAGGCTTGCAGCATTCCCGTGGAGGAGACGACGTTTTGCTCCGGCATCGCGGAGAAGACCTTGGCGGCCTCTTCCACTCGCCCGGCTCGAGAGAATCCCACCAGGAGCGTCGTCCACGACACAATGTCCCACTCGCGCATCCTTTCGAAGAGATCGACTGCCCTGTTCATCGAATCCTTGAGAGTGTACGCTGCTAGCATCGTGTTGATGGAGACGAGGTTTCTCTCGGGCATGGAAGCGAAGAGTTCTTCCGCAAGCTCGAGATTGTTCGTCCTAGCAGCGACGATCTCACCGATACCATCGTTGGATGTAGTAGCAAAAGCGTGAAGCAGGCCATTCCACACCACCAGCGACCATTCGGGCATCCGGTGGAGCAAAGTCACGGCCTCGACAAGATCCCCAGCCCGGGCATTTGCGATCACGATAGCGGTCCATGAGATTATGTTTCGCTCTGGCATCAAATCGAAGATCTTTCTCGCGCCATGAAGATATTCGTTTTCAAGAAACGATCCGAGAATCGAATTGTACGTGACGGCATCCCACTCTGGCATTGAATCAAAGGTAAATTTTGCTTTATACAAATGCCCTTTTGCGTTATATGCGTCGATCATAGTTGTCCAGGAGACTATGTTTCTATACGGCATAGCGTCAAATATTTGTTTCACTGTTTCTACTTGACCATAGTCCTTGTACGCTGTCATTATAGTCGTCCAGGATATCACTGTTTTACTTGGCATAGCATTAAAGAAAGCACTTGCTTCGTCCAAATGCCCTTTTGTGGCATATGCCGAAAGCATGATATTCCAGGAGAAAGAATTGGGTGCGTGAATGGCATCGAAGACGCGACGAGCAGCCTCGACGCTGCCGCATCGCCCATACATTTGGACGATAAGATTGGAGATGTAAGCGTCTCGTTGGCAGTTAAATCTCCCCGACGCTTCGGTGTGGAGAATTTCGGCCTCGTCGGGAGAAACGCAAGCTCGAAGGCGCTGAGCGAAGGCCTCAACCATGAAATTGGGATCTCACATTGCCTACATTTGCCGCTAGAACCATTAGAGACGAGGTTTTAGGGTTTTTTGTAGCAATGAAGGAGATAGGCGCCATGAAGGCGCTGGCGTGGTACCGGGAGCTCGACATGGATTATCGATCCTTGAAAACAGGTCTGATCGATTTCTTTCTCTTCCCACCGCAGCATTCGACTCCTTCGATCTCTCTCTCAGGTGGACAATGCGAGGCGATCATGAATCTAGCCCCGCGGCTGCTGCAGTGGAGCCTGGAGCCCCCGGCTAACCAGGCCGCCGCCGATCACTTTGGGCTGGATCCCGGCCAGGACCTAGCGTCCGCCAACGCGATCTTCTCGCGGCTCGCGGACTCTTTCAAGAATGGCAGCAATGTCATCCGGCTGTGCATTCTCAAGGTACTTCTCTATGTGTACAGAGGCCACAGGAAGGCCAGGACGTCGACTAAGTCCTTGCTTAGCGGTGAAAGGATCTCCGACTACGTCGAGGTGTTGAAGAAGGTGAAGACCGTTGCTAGGAGCACCGATCTCACAGCTCGGTGTCTCGCCATCCGGGCTCTTGGATGCTTGGCTCAGCTCGACTGTGATAGCAGTGACTTGCATCGGCTTGTTCTACTGTCGATGGACTCCACTCACGAGCAGGAGGTAGTACGTTTGATTTGATCCTGCTGCTGTGAAAACTTGGTTCCTTGGTTTTTTAATTTGTAGGTGGAGGCTGCATTCTTTGCCGCGGGGTGTTTCTCCGAGAACTCGCCATCTTTTGCTGCTATGTGCTCCAGAAAGCTGAAGGATGTATTGGAAACATCAACTAGCCTCGACTTTGCGGCAATTCGTGTTTTGTCCAAAATGTGGATATCATCTGCAGTGGCGGCTGACGTTCACAAGGCAAGAGTTTGTTTGTTCTGTTTTTTCTTGTGGAATTGCTAATTTTTTTGTGTGCTTGTTTAAACTAGTTTGGAGAAGAGATGCTGCTTAAGCATCCCAACGACGAGGTTGCAAAGGTGACGCTAGCTGCTCTGAGCAACCTCGCCGGGAAGGCGAAATTATTACTTCCATCTCACGTTCGTCTGCTACTGGAGTATGCCAATTCGGATCGTGGAGCGTCTGTCCAGATGCTTTCGCTGGTTTATCTGACCAAGTTATTACCTCAATCGATATATTACTTGGAATCTGTGGAGCAGGAGCTTGTGCCGCTCTTTACAGTGGTCAAAGATACGAACAAGCCTTCCGTGATACGCTGCCAAGCTTTGCGTCTTCTTCAAAAGGTAACCAGCCTCTCGGCCTTCCTCCTGGTCTTTCTGTTATTGAATTTCTCCTGTGTGCAAGGTGGCAACGAATTATCCTATAGAATGTTTGAGCCAATTCATTTCTCTCGGGGAAGTGAATTCTCAAGACGGACAGTGGTCTGTCAGTTTTCAAGCGCTCCGCCTGCTCGTAGAGCTTGTTTGCAAGCTTGAGCGCTCCAGACAACCATCGGACTCGGAAGTTACTGAACTCTTGAAGAAGATATCTTCGCTACTTTGCCATCGTCTTATCACGTCTCCTGATGGTGCTGCCGTTCATTGCTACCGTTTGACTCTGAGACTGGTCGTAAACTCTACGAAAGCCTGCTATATTCTTGTGGAATCTCTTGCTCAGAAGCTTCAGTCCACTATCACGAAGGACGAAGAACAAAACGACGTCTCCGGCGATACTGTCATGCGTGACGCGACCGACGATTCATCAAATATAACTCTACTGGAGCCTACTTGTCGCTGCTTACTTATCTGTGCGACAAACCTGGATTTGAACGACTCGAAGATGACCACCATTTGCGAGCGGGTCACACGGGTTTCTCAGCTCCTGAGCTCTTCCGGTGCTTACGATAAAGCCTACATGGGCCTACTTCCAGCGGTTTTCAAAGTATCTCTGCTTGAAGGTTTAGATACTCCAGAGTACGCGCAACAAGCTGCCGAGGCATTGGTGCAGTCATCGAAGTTCTGGCCTGCATATAAACTTGCAAAGACCGCCTGCATCTTTGGACAGTGGGACATCGCCGAAGGCATTTACCGAGTTATCTGCGATGTAGTCACGTCCGAGGCGTGCTATTTCTGGCTCAAGGCTCTTTTACAGCTATGCTCCGCTGAAAAGCTCTGGTCTAAAACAGCAGGAGACGCAGGAAACGCGACATTTGTGGAAACAGGTTGTCAATCTCTACAGATGCTAAAATCATCGGTAAAATCATTGGAAGCCGGAGTTCAGCTGGACAGGTCTATAGAGTTTGAGTTTCAACGTCGGTTTGTGAGGCTTCGAATCCGACTATTGCAAATCATGATGGAAGCTGTCGCGCTTTGCAACTCGGTTCTTCAACATCAGCGTGTACATGGCGGGGATCTTACTGCCAAGGGACTTCTTTTGACCTGTTACGGAAAGGCGCAGCTGATTGCGTCAGACTTTCAGGCTCTCGCTGGGGATTTCTACATCTTAAGTATTTCCTTCATCGGCATTGACAACGGCAGCCTGGAACTTTTATACGCCAGGATGTTTGAATCCTCTCTCCTGGCGTTTTGTACAGCTTTTGCGTTTCTACCATGGCCCAGAGACACTTGCAACGGTTTGAAACGCTCGAGGACGACGGCTTTCAGTTTCACTTACAAGGCGGACGTGTTTGAAGAAGTTGCCCACTTTATCCAGGGACGTACTATGCTGCAGCAGTTCTACGACGTGCTGGGACGCATCGCTGTTGGAGATTTACGCTACAGACGCAACGTTCCTTGGTTTAAAACACAACCAGCTACGCAGGTTGTAAAGAGTGTGTGGAAGCAGGCCTTGCATCTGAAGTTCTCCGAGTCGAACGGGGCTACGTGGACTCAGGAGAAAGGGATTCCATTCTTAAACGAAGCTATGCGTCAGCTGTTCCGTGAGGAATATGTGCTGCCTAGATACTTCTTCAACTCGAGGTAAGCAGATATTCTACAATACTTTCTTATTAACTGAATGTTCCTCTGCTTCCAGGCCTCGAACGCAGCTGCGGTTGCATGCCCATACAAAAGAGCGTTATTTTAGTGTTCCCAGGGGCTCGCCTCTCTCTTTAAGTCTCGGCCTGGAGGTAATTAATCTACCAGCAGGTTTTGCGCTGAAGAGGTTGTCTTGCATCCTCGCGCTTTCCGGTTCTACGCAGCATGTCTCGAATTTTACTCGTGACACCAAAGACCATGTCCTTCTGAAATGGCTGGCTGGTCGAGACAACGTGTCAGAGTCAGAGAATACTTTAGCGTTCATTTCTTCGTCTCTGGAAGGCGAGCAGACCCAGGGGTTGTGTTCGTGTACTATAGATGTCTCGAATCTTTCGCCAGGAGTTTACCAAGTATCATCACGCTTATGCGTCTGCACAGACAAAAGAGGTGTACAGTGGATGCTGAAGGGACCGCGCTTCGATCAAAAGTTAAAAGTTGTATAGCTACAAGGTACTTCTTATGAATTATAATAACTCGTCTCATTGTTCTTGTTCGATTTTCAGCGCCAACGTTTTGCAGTCGAAAGCAAAAATACGAGTTTTCACTGAAGAGAGCTGATTGTTCTCATTTTCAAATGACGCGCTTCCAGCTATTTTGATTCTTCAGGTAAATTTTCCTGGCTCATCGTCATCTCTGGGATCTCACTGGCTAGTCCCCAGAGGTAGGCCACTGATCCAACGTATGGAACATAGCTTAGCAGACTCACCATCTTTCGCATTCGCAGGCCTTCAACCTTCTTCAAGTTGCTCTGAACGAGCCAGACTTGGAATATCGAATAAAGGAAGACGTCCCACAGAAAAGCATATGCAACACGGTCTGTTCCTATATAATGGAGAAAATAGTTCCAGCGATCAACGATGTTCCCAAATCCTGCGTCAGGTCTGCCTCCCAAGCCCCAAGCTATCGATAGTGCACCAACTATTCCACCGACTAAAGCGATTGGTTTTGCAGCAGAGAGTGCTGCTTGGCAAAACTTGCTTGGTGATTGGGACTTCGTAGGAACCTGTTCGTTCAACCGAATAGCCATGTAAGGTATGAGAAAGGCTGCAGTCATGTCTTTCATAGTTAGTGCTTTTGTCACGCGAAGCTCGTTTTTACCGTTCGTCAGAAACCACTGTCCCGCCCAGAGTGCTTCCAAGGACCCTTTGAACCGGTTGTTTCGAGCGTCAGAAAAGATAATGGGTCCGAAGAGCAGAGTCCATCCCATAACGATGTTGAAGAGCGCCTCGGCAGCCTATGGTTCCAAAATGTATGGTGGTGAGTAAATGTATGGTGGCTTTGTGAGGATGTACTCACCGGGTGAACCACAGGAGCGGTTACTACGTGAAATCCAGCTGAAGAAGAGAACTGAACGTCAGAGATAAAATTGTGCCACACACACCAGCATTGGCGATAGGTAGTACAAAGAAGAAGTTTAGTGATAGTTGGAAAAGCATTGACAACGTTTCTTGGTCAATTGCCCATGCAGGATCTCCCTGGCAGCAAGAAGCTCAAAAAATCAAAGAAGAAGGCAAAAGAGCCGAGCTCTCACTGGTGCATATGGGAGAATGAACAGCCAGACAGCGTAGAAGCCAGTCATACTCCATAAAACGAGCCGGAGCGCGGCATTGCTGACGAATCCTTCGTCCGGCGCTCGCCTAGCTTTGCAGACTACATTTCTTTCGACTGGACCGTCTCGACGGTAGGCTTTCGCAATTCTGCAGCTTACTAACCTGTGATCTCTTGTGTGAAGCCACAGAAGTGCTTGGTGTCGTGGAATAACGCACTGCTTGTAACGTAAGCCCGAGCTCGGAGCTGCGGAAAGTATGACGCTCGCCATAACCATTTATAAAATGCTTTGTGTAGGGTTCCTTTGCCGCAGGGGGAGAGCTTTCATCAAGCGATGAAACCACCACGAGCAATCTTGCTCGTGGCTGTGCTGGGCGCCATAGCTCATCTCATTAGAGGTACTCTTTCTTTTGCGCCATTTTAGTTGACTCTAGCGCTTGTGTGGCCACCAGGAAACGAAGTTGTGAAGTTTGCTAGAACGCTTGAGGGGAGTGGGTCGCACCGGGAGCTCAAAACCGATATCAGCCTGCAACTGGATAACAAGTTCCAGGGAGACTCGTGCAGGCTCTCCTTGGTAGAAAATCTCCCAAGCTCCGTTTTTGCCGATACGTTCCAACTCCAGCGCTTAACTCGGATGGGAAGTAAGTAACTCGTGTATGAAATCCTCCCCGAAGTGATGCAAAAGATGTGTTTTTGCAGGATATGAAGCAGCCCATGTATCCGGTGATCTCGATCTGGAGAGGCCAGCGTTTTTCTCTGGACCAGTCACCGTGAGAATACAAGTCTCGCTGGATCAAAACGCGAACGTCTTCCATGCCGAGACTTCACTCCCTTTACACGCTCGTTATGCGGTACAGTTACATCTTTAATGTGCTACTAACCGAGTGTTTGTTCGTTCCTGGCAGCCGCTAGGCATTGACAGCTACCACCTCGTAAACTTGAGCTCTCCATCCGTGGCCGTGAGCTGCAAGAAGAATGCGGAAGAACTCCAACTCGAGCTCGCTGCAAGCGAAGAAGTCCAATGGCCAATTCCAGCAGGGAACCCCAACGACGCCAGCACTGTGAATCGATTCACGGCGCTGGCCGCCGCTGCAGGGACGCTGGTCCTTTGCAGCATCTCAGTCATGAAGAAGAGGTGTCCTTGGTGTTGATTTCTCCTCTCTCTCTCTCGCTCGCGCGGAAAGTAAATGTTATCTTTTTTGGCACACACCTCACCACCTCGAAAGTAGGGTAGTAATTCTAGAAATGGCTGACGAGAGGGAGAAGGTGTGGTTCGTCCGCGTCATACACAAGCCCGTCCGCTTCTCACACCTGGTATGTTCTAGCTTCCGCATGAATCATAGCGAAAACTCCAAACTTTTCTTGATTCTCTAGTCGGTTCCAAGGCGGCTCGCGAAGGATCAGCTCAAGAAGTTGTGCAACACCACCGTGTTCCTCCAGGACGAGCGCGGCCAGGAGTGGCCAATCGCCACCAACGAGCACGCCTACTTCTGCTCGGGCTGGAACCGCCTCGCACGCGACAAGAGCCTCAAGGGAGGCGAGGTCATCCTCTTCATGCACGAAGGCCGCGGCCGCCTCCGCTTCAAGATCTTCGCCGCCGATGGAGCGGACCGCCAGGACTTCGGGACCGAGAGGTTCTGCGGGAGGCCACCCCGGATTGGAGGCCGAAAGATCGTCCGGAAGCCCAGGATCGTCAAGAAACCAGCGCCGAAGCTGGCGGTGCCGGTTTGCGTCCAGGCGGTGGTGAAAGAAGAAGTAGAGGAGAGTGGAATGCTCGGTGATGCAGAGGCAGCAGTAGTAGCTATGGCGGAAGAACAATCTCCAGACGATCACGAGCCGGCAGTAGCTATGGCTGTAGAACCATCTCCAGAGCTCCCCCATCAGCGTGAAAGCTCCCCTCCTTTTCTCGAGCGGAACTTGAGGAGCCGGCCGCCGCTGGTGAGATCGAAGCTCCACCTCCACCGCCTCGCCATGGACGCGGCGCTGGCGTACAAATCTGACAAGCCAACGTTTATAGTCAAGATACAAGGCGACGAGACGGTTCTGGTAAGAGACAACGTTTACCTCGCAAGATGACTGGATGACTTTTTTTTTCCAGAGTGTGAGGAGGGAGTTTGCCGAAAGATATCTTCCTCGCAAGCCCGCCACGACCAGCGTGGTGGACGGGGAATCGACGCTGTGGACGGTCAAGTGGCTGGGAATTCGAGCGTGCGTCCTGGGTGCCGGGTGGCCAGAGTTTGCGAAGCATCACGTCCTGAAGAAGCTGGACATATGTCTGTTCGAACTCATCACCCAGAGAGCCTTCCAAGTTCGGATCTACAGGTAGAAAAACCAAAGCGACAAGCATCAAAATGCCACTGGCTTTAGGAATGCCAGGCTTTATAGATATGGTTTCTCTTGCATCACAATCACAGTACCTGTATCTCACAAAACCGAAACTTTGCGTTTCTTCTGCCTCAGTCCGAGGACCGTGCACACGCGAGAATTGTTGCTGGCATGGCGTCAAACCTTTTGCTTCTTGACCTGGAACAAAAGCTTAGACACAATGCCAAGGCTTCATGTTTTTCTAGACATACCTTTCGTTGTTTCTTCCGATCGGTCTCTTTGATTTCATCCGTCTCGACGACTTCCTCTTCCTCATCGCGTGTCAATGCGCCTGAAAAGTGCACACCACCCATGAGATTCATCACAAGAAAACCAACGAAGAGCTCGCTTACCAACACCAGCACTGAAGCCGACAACGCAGGTGAGACGAGCTCGTGTATCGGCTTGCATTAGCGGCACTGGCTTCCCATCATCTTCTGCCTGTGACACCACTCGCAAATCCCACACCTTCACGGTCCCGTCCGACGAGGCCGAAACCAAAAGCTGGGAATCGCTCAGCCTGTCCACTCCCTTGACACGGCTCGCGTGAGCAGCGGCGATTCTATGCGCGGTTTTCCCAGACCGAAAGTCCCACACACTCACGCTGCAGTCTTCTCCTCCTGTGCACAAAAGCTCATCCTGATCAAAAGTCCCAGTCACTAGTTGCTAAAGAGAAAAAAGAAGAACAAAGAGTTCTATCAAGACTTACGTGAAATGGAGCCATGCACAGCACAGGTTTGTCATGATCCAGGGTCTGGAAAACCTTCCCATCCTCGGCATTGTGAATCTCCACAGCACTGCCGCACGCCATCGCGTAGCTATGCTCCTTCTCGGGCAAGAAACTCACGAGCGAAGCCTCCCTCGCGACCTTAGTCTTGAAGCTACACCTCCCCCTGAGCAAGTTCCACATTCGAAAGCCACCGTGTCGCTCCACCGAGATCGCCAGCTTCCCGGAGGAATGAATTGAGAGATCCAGAATCCCCGCATTGCCCCCTTTCATCGTCTTGAAGTGGATCCAGCTGCCGGCATCCCACACGCAAATGGTCCCATCCTCGGATGCGCTAAACAAGTGCGATGCCTTCCCGGTGGCGTCGGTGCCGAAGAACTCGAGCGCCGTCACAGACGCCCTGTGCCCCTCCGCCACGCCCACGTCGCGATTGGCGGCGACGTCGAAGATGTGGATCGTGTCATCCGAGCCGCCAGTGACGAGATCGCCGCCCCATCCCGCGGCGCATTTGATCGGCCCTAGATGCGATGGCCGCGAGAAGGATTGAGAGAGCTCGCCGGTGGCAAGGTCCGCGTCCCATGCCCAGACGAAGCGCTCGTACGAGCCCGCTACGATCTTCTTCTTCATTCTCTAAACCCTACTAAAACCCTAAACGCATCTCGTCGCATATTCTACTATTCAAACGAAAATGTTCAGTCGATTCTAAATGAATGACCAGGTGGCCTTACTGAAAGCATATGCCCGCAATGGGCATATTGCACAAGCAGAGAAGATTCTCTATGCAATGCCCGAGTGGAATCTTCTTGCCTGGACCACGCTGCTGGCCGCAAGTGTCCAGGCTGGGAATCTCAAAGAATGTAAAAGGATCTTTGAGGAGACTCCACGAAGGGACATAGCGCTCTGGAACGTAATGCTTGCAGCATACACTCACACTGGGAATCTTGGTGAAGCAAAGGTCTTCTTTGATTCTATGCCTTGTTGGAATCTTCTCTCCTGGACAATACTTCTTGTGGGATACGCCCAAAATGGGTTTGTCACACAAGCCCGGAGAATGTTTGACAGGATGACTAACAGAAATCTCGTGACATGGAATGCACTGCTCTGGGCTTACGCACAAAACGGCGACTTAGGCAGTGCGACTTCCATCTTTAAAATCATGCCTCAGTACGACATAGTTTCATATAACACAGCTCTTTCGGAAATTGCCCAAAAGGGGCATATTGAGGATACAAAGAAACTTTATAATGTATTGCCAGAGTGGAACGTCATCACCTATAACATTATGTTAGCTGCATATGAAACAAAAGGGCTTGTGGATGAAATTGAGAAAATGCTAGGAGAAATGCCCGAACGAGACCTTGTATCATATACCACACTTTTATCAGCTTATGCCCAAGTGGGGAATGTGAAATATACTCAGCTACTCTTTGATTGCATGCCACAACACAATTTAGTGTCATGGAATGTGCTTATGGCTGCTTGTGTCTGTCACGGTGATTTTGGTCTTTGCAAAAGCGTTTTTGATGCAATGCCCGAGCTGAACTTGGTATCTTGGAACTCAATGGTATCAGCCTATGCAGAAAGTGGTTATCTCATCCAGGCAAAACACGTACTATCTGTGATGCCAGCTTGGGACTGCGTATCGTGGACCACCTTGCTGGTAGCTTATTCCCAATACGGGTATCTTGATATTGCAAAAGCCTTGTTTGACCAGATACCCGAAAAGGATACCATTTGCTGGAACGCAATGGCGTCTGCATATGCCCAATCTGGGCATCTTCAAGAGGCCAAACAAATGATGGACTTGTGTCCGTATGTAAGTGTGCCGTCGTACAACACGGTTCTTGCTGGCTATTCCGGCACCCCTCACGTCCAAGAGGCAAAGCAGGTGTTCGATTCCATGCACTACCGCAATCTGGTTTCATGGTTGACAATGCTGTCGATGTACACACAAAGCGATAGCATCAGAGAGGCCAGGCACCTGTTTGGTGAAATGCCCGAGAGAAACTTGGCCGCGTTCCACATCATGCTGGGGGCATTTGCCAGAAAGGAACTCCTGGAAGACGCCAAGAGTATCTATGATAAAATTCCCGAGAAGACCATAGAATCGTGGTGTCTACTGGTGGCAGGATTCTCTCAACACGGGCATTTCATCTGCATAGATCCTCAGTACTTCGAGCAAGTTGACGATGCCGTTCGCAACCATGAGATGTTTAAAGCATATGCCCAGATTCGGCATCCTCACAAGAGCAAACACTATTTTGATCACTTGCAGACCAGAGATTCCGACACGTGGACGCAGATGCTGGTCGTGTACGGATACAACGGCCAGGTGGCAGAATCGGAGCGGCTGTTTTCCGCAATGCCCGAGCACGAAGAAGTAAGTTGGAGCACCATGCTTCTAGCATATGCCCAGAACGGGCATTTTGAAAAGGTGGTGGATTTGTATTACAGACTTGTGATGGTCACGAATCCCCGGCTGGTTTGCTTCGTGTCGGTGTTGGTCGCTTGCAGCCGCAAAGGAGACGTGGAATCTGGACGGCAGTGCTTTGGCTCGATCAAGTCTGACTTTGGCCTTGACTACTCCAAGCAGCACTACAGTTGCATGCTGGATCTCTTGACGCGAGCTGGGCGGTTCCAAGACGCGACGGACCTCATCAGCAGCATGCCTTTCGAGCCGAGCGATGTGGAATGGAGATGCCTGCTCGCGGCTTGCAGATGCCGTGGCCACAGCGCGCTTGAAGCTCGAGGAACAGTGGGAAATGCCCTGGATACTGGATCGACAGACTCGTCGACTTATGTTCTGGCAGCCAACGTCGTGTGTTGATGGAGAGCTCTGGAAACAAAGACAAACACTGTTTGTGTCAGCCATGGACATGAAAACAGTGCGCAAAGAGGACGTATCACCCCTTTGAAAGCTCCCCGGAGAAGACCGACAGGCCAAAACTTTGGTGGTGTTTGAGATTCGCAACACAGCTGAGGTAATCCTTGAGAGTTTTCCATATTTTTGCCGCTATGGCCCTGCTCAACAAGTGATTACATGATTGGCATTGTCGATAAAGTCTACCGTAAAACGTGAAAACTCCTCCACGTGGAGGGGCCGGCTCGTCGTCAACACGCTGTTGATCGCCGAATTGAATCTTCCGTCCCCTCATCAGTTCTTTTGCTTAAGACCTGAGAAAAGGAAAAATATGGTGCTGGGAGACGCGGCGAGCTTACAAAGACGATTGTCGAGTTAAGTACCTCTCTCAGTCGCAGCTTTAGATTATAGCATGGATAGATTTCTTGAGCCAGCCATCTATCTTCGTCTGAGGCGATGATGCCGTCAAGAGCACAAGACAATCATACTAGATCAATGGCTGCCAGCAGCAGCAAGAAGAGATCCCTGGAACAGAAGAACGATGAGCAAAACAACTTAGAATTTGGGAACAGCATCGACACGGACCTCTCTGGTTGCTTCCAAAAGTTCATCGCGAACTCCGTCGACACGGCCGGATCAAGCAGCAGCACCAACTGGGCTCCAGAGCTCCTGCAAGAATGCGCAAAGGCAGTGGACGAGAAAGATGGCCCGAGAGTCCAGTATCTCATGTGGGTGCTCAACGAGCTCTCCTCTCCATACGGCAACACGGAGCAAAGGCTCGCGTCGGCATTCCTCCAGGCCCTCTTCGCAAAGCTGACGAGAAGAGGCGGCCAGCACTACCGGAGCCTGTGCAGCGCCGCCGCCAAGAGCCACTCCTTCGCGTCGATGAAGAAGATGGTGCTCAAGTTCCAGGAGCTGAGCCCCTGGATGACGGTGGGGATGGTGGCGGCCAACGGAGCCATCCTGGAAGCGCTCGAGGGCGAGCGGAGTGTCCACATTGTGGACGTGAGCAACACCTTTTGCACCCAGTGGCCGACGCTCTTCGAGGCGCTGGCGATGAGAGCCGAGCATCCTCCACACCTGCGGGTCACAACGCTGCGGCTTAGCTCCAGAGAGGAGGAAGAGAGCTCCGAGCAAGTCATGAGAGAGATCACTCACCGGCTAGAGAAATTCGCGCGGCTCATGGGAATCCCCTTCGAGTTCTCGGTGCTCGCCGCCGTGGAGACGGAGGAGATCAATCCGGCAATGCTGGAGACCCGGAGCAACGAGGTGCTCATCGTGAATGCCATGAATTTCTTCCAGCACCAGCGCCACGGCCGCCCCCTCGCTGTTCTAGCCCGGGCCGTAAACCCGAAGGCCGTGATCGTGGTGGAGGACGAGGTGGACCTCTCCTCTCCTCAATTCCTGACGCGCTTCGCCGAGGCGCAGCGATTCTACTCCATGTTCTTCGAATCCCTCGACAGCAGCTTCCCCAGGACGAGCGGCGAGAGGATGATGCTGGAGCGCGTCGCCGGTAGGCGAATCGTGGCGGCGCTAGGCTGCGATGACGATCCCGCTGCGGGTGCACGGGCGCCAGAAAAATGGAACCTGGCGATGCAACGCGAGGCATTCGTGCCCAAGCCCCTGAAATCCGAGGTCGTGGACGACATTCAGGCGCTGCTCAAGCGCTACAAACCTGGATGGGGCCTCCAGCGTTGTGACATTGGCCTTTTCTTGACGTGGAAGGAAGAGAACGCCATCGCTGTCACAGTGTGGAAGCAACAACCCTAGCGCGGGGAAGAAACCATTTTGAAATATTATTAAATTTTACTTAGTATTCATTTAGACTTAGCTATTTAAAACTGACTTTTTACAGTTATGTTCATATCTACAATGTAGATTACTCTTGCTTTTATAAATTATAAACATGTTTATAATTTATAAACAAATTATCTCTTGACATTCGTTGACGGTAATTTGCAATCCTTGTCCAAGATAGAGAACTGTCTAAACAAGAACAAAGTATATTTATGTGCTTGATTCACCTAACAATTATATAAAACAGGGTCTCACGAGTCTGAGGAAGGGGAGTACTTGGGTCCTTTAACTCAGTGATTGTTTTCCTCAATGTATGCTATACTTGCTGGCTTGTTCAAGTTTTAACATGCTAATTTGGCTTGCTGTTGCTTGGCAGAGTATCCATGGATCGTGTTTATTGAGCTTTGCATGCTCACTCTCTGTCTGTTAGGTGATGAGGCGACCTAGCTATTGAATTAGGGCTGACTGACTTGGTTGTCTATCCAAGCTGCAAACCCAGACTTGCCAAGTGTTTTTCTAGCTGGCTGACTAACCATTCCTTGGATTTGGAGAGCCAAGACTAGGGAATGTCTATAGTTATAGGATGAAACTTTAAATGCTTTCATCAGAAAAAAAAAAAAGAAAGAAAGTATTTTGTGCAGTGACTCGCAATCTTCCTTCGGAAGTTCCTTTGGGAGCAGCATGCCATTCGCCCCATATGATCCAAGTGGAGGCTAAATTAAAATAAGCTTCAACTGTGATGGAGTATGTCGGGAATTAGAGGGCTTTAGTTTACTTCTAGCTACACAAGTAGTGATTTGCAGTTCCAGCAAACGCTTCACATATAAGATTTAAAAAAAGAGATGTAAGTTTACAAGTATAAAAGAAAAAATAAGAACTTACTATTGTAAAGATAGATGAAGCAGCAGGTAGGAAGTGCTGTTTAGATTCACTTCTTGATCTGGGAGAATCTTGGGAAGCGTTAGGATGTATGAAGCATGCAAGTTTGCGGCTTCCAGGATGTTTGGAGGCAAGTGTATAATCTACTGGGCAAGGAAAAAAAATGCTTCCATGGATCATATGTGAATAATATTAAGCATGTAACACATAACAAGTAATTAGGTAATATAACAAATGATATGGTAAATGTGGATAAAAATAAATCAAACTTGTTAGAGCCATATTTATTTCCATATTAATAAAATGTTTAAGAATATAGTTTTAATATTATAATATATATTTTCACTTACTTAAAAAATTACTCAATTTTTTAATGCATCTATCAAGTTTTTCAAATTGGAAAAAATTAGTATTAAAAACTGAGCAACAAAAACTTTTTAGAACCAATAAATCATTAAAGGTAAAACATTTAAATAGCAAAACCATAAATCAAAATATAAAGTTTATTTATAAGTATTTTATTTTTATTTATTTTAAAAAATCTTTTTTATATATATATAAATATAATTTTAACTAATCCTTGCCAAAAAATTTAACCATATTTTTTATTTTTATATTTATAGTTTATACTTTTTATAATCTATTTTGTTTTTTATTGTATTATATTTTATATTTTACTGAGATTTACTTAATTTTTATCAGTTTAGTAACAAAACTCGTTTCTACATTTTTGTAAAGTAGTTTAAACTTAAATAGCCCTTCTTTAAAATATAGTATATAAAAATATTTACATTAAAATTTATAGCTTTCACCATACTTTCACTATTAACCATTATCAAAAGAAAAAGCATGAAGGGGTAGCTACCCACAACTCAACCCATGATATAATTTACAATTTAGGATAATAAAAGGTAATTCATGTTTTTAAAAATCAAAATTATGGCTGATTAACTCACTTTATATTTATATATGTATGTATGTATGTATGTATGTATCTATCTATCTATCTATCTATCTATATATATATATATATATATATATATATATAACTCTACACATAAAACGATAAGATTTTTCATTTGGATTTCAATTACTAATAAAGGAAATAAATAGTTAAAACAAGAACTATGCAAAATAGAACTCAAAAAGACTATATAAATATAGTATTCTTCTAAGTGGTTGAAATAACAATTGTACTTTTGTAATTTTGTATATAGTCCACCTATGTGGACACTTTCTCTCTAACCTCTTGCCTCTGGCTCAAGTACTCATTCTAGAGAACGCTTGTTGGCTTAACTGCCATTCTAGAATATTTCTACTTTTCACTCAACCCCAAGCGTTCTTCCAATAATTGAAACTTACAGTTAATGCTGGAAGATTAATCGGCACCACCTTGGCTAGAAACGACGTTCCAGCCCGATTGATATACGAGCCGGGGCAGATAAGAAGGAAATTACTGTTCATCGAGATAGAGACGACGGGCATATTCTCCGGCGGCTGCATGGCCGCTGGCACGTGTCTGGCCAAGCTGGCTGGCGTCATTTGATTTTTTTTCCTTTGCGTCTATGCCTGTATGGAAAACACAGACAAGGCGAGTGTAGAACAAACACTGTTTTGTATTTTCACTCTCCAATGGCGCACGAAGCGAGCATCAAGGTCGAGATTCCCAGCCGCCTCGAGGAGCTCTGGGAGCTCTCGCCTCACCTCCCATCTCCACAGCGATTAAACGCCGCATTCGACAGCATCGCGGTCTCTTCCTTTCCCCCACTCGGAGAAGCCAAAGGTGAGCTCCTCTTTCTCTTCTTGATCTTGTTTTAGCTATTTTCTTCATCGCTGCGCAGTGATCGAAATAGCATCAGACGCGAGCATTGCGGAAGCTGTCCAGATTCTAGCGAGGAACAACGTTTTGAGCGCACCGGTGAGAGATGTGGAGGCCCCCGACGACGCGAGCTGGATCGATCGGTACATAGGAATCGTCGAGTTTGCTGGGATCATCTTGTGGCTGCTCCAACAGGTTGGTCTCTCCAACTTCTGTTCTTTTCGTTTTCCTATGGTTGTGATTTGAAGCTGTGAGTGTTCCAGTCCGGAGTGTCCTCTCCCAAGGCTAGTGCAAAGCTAGAAAATTTGCAAGCAGCGGCACTCGCATCTTCGGGGAGCTTTGGACGTACAGCTGTTCCAGAGCCGTATCCACCGGAAATTTTAGAAAGCGATTTCTTTGAAGAACTTACTTCCTCGTCCTGCTACAATCAAAGCAAGGTCAGTCCAGCAAAACAAAGATCAAAGAAAAAGACTTACACGAGAAGTTTCAGGTGAAAGACATCGTTGGATCGTTTAGATGGGCTCCATTCCTCCCGGTGCAAAAATCCGACACTCTTCTCACAGTGCTACTGCTGCTGTCGAATTATCACATGAAAAGCCTCCCGGTTGTGGAATCTGGACGAGCAGAGATACAAGGTCTCATCACGCAATCAGCAGTAGTTCATGTTCTCTCGCAGTGCATTGGCATACCTTGGTTCGACAGCCTCGGTAAGCTGTCGTTAGCACAGCTTGGCCTCCCATCGACAACATCAGCCAAAATGTTGAAGGCATGCCAACCATCTCCTTCTTTTATCTCCTTCGTCGTTGTACCAATCTCTTTCATAAACTTTCCAGATCGTGGAAGACGAGCCAGTTCTTCGAGCGTTTCGAGTGATGCGGTACCACAACGTTGGCGGCTTGCCTGTCATCACAAAGTCTGACAACAAACCAATCGGTAACATCAGTATCAGAGACGTCCGGTTTCTACTTACAGCCCCACAAGTTTACAAATCTCACCGGTATAGTCTCGTTGTAGTTCTCCAGTGCCAAACTTAGCTTTCCTCTCTGCAGAACAATAACAGCGAAGGATTTCCTCCAAGTTACAAAGTCGATCTTGCAAAAAGACCAGCCTTCCTCACCGATCCTCCACCCTGTCATCGTTTGCACGTCGAGTGAGAGGCTCCAGGACGTGATCTCCAAGCTGGACAGGGCCCGAATCCACCGCATCTACGTCGTGGACAAGCACGGCCACCTCGAAGGTGTGGTGACCTTGAGAGACATCATCTCCAAGTTCGTGGACGAGCCTCCGGGTTACTTTGGAGATTTCTTCGCCGGCGTAGTTCCTGCCACAAGAACTTGCAAAGTGTGAATTCTTCCTGTCAGTTACAGAATGGTAAGAACATACCAGTGAAACAAACTTGGATCTCCCAAGTTCGTGCAGCAGCGTCCGGACGCTTTATTGTGTAGTTCCTGCCACAAGGAACTCAAACATGCTGTAAATCTGTAAGAACAAACCCAGTGAAAGACTTGGATGAGTAGAGGATTTGGTTTATTGCGCTGCTGCCTCTTTCAAGCAAGATCTCATAACATCGCCAATCTTGGCACAGGCATCCAAGCAGAGCTCCAGTGATTCCGAGGCCCTGGAGCTGGACCATTCCCCGGTCATGGTAACTTGCGTGATCTCTTTTCTGGAGGGCATATAAGCCACCATGAGACTACCATCCTCGCAATTCTCTTCGCTCGTCGAGGGATCCAACAGGACCTGGCCTTGGATACTACTGGCCGACACCGCTGCTACTAGATCATACAAGACGATCCCCGCGTCGGCTAGAGCGAGCGATGCGCAAGTGACGATCACCGGAAGATCGCCACCCCCGGATTGAAGAACAAGCGCGAAGACGTCGACAGTGGTCTTGGGGAACGTTCGAAGATCCACAGCGCCCACCACAGACTTGTAGAGCATTGATGAGAGATCCCTCTCCTCGGCATTGGCAGCGCCCATCTTCCCTCTCACAGGCGTCGCGAAGGAGCAGTACTTGACGTTGCAATTGAGCCGCCCAGCGTCGCTGAATGCCTCGGCCTTCTTGCTCTCGCGAGGCCCAAACACGGACACGATCACCTTGGTGTCGCCCGACTCCGCGTAGGCCGATCCCGCCGCCGCCCGGACGGCGCCGGTGCGCAAGAATGCCGCGCGGCACATCTGTGCGTGGCGCCCGTCGATCCTCTCCCCATCGCTGGAAAATACGGGGGCGCGATGGGGCTCCTCCTCCAGCGCCTGCGTCGATCGCTGCTGCCGCGCCATCTCTCCCGCGCGTGCTTAAACCCCAAGGCCCCAAGAACCCTAAAAATGTGAGAGTTTAGGGCTCTTGCGATGAAGACGACGAAAGCGGGGAATGTAGCTCTTTTGTTTCCTTGTGTAGCCGCCGGCCAAGCATGGAATTTAGGATTTATACTGGAGTACCTCGCGGATTCGATGCACTCGTGTTGGGATCCCCAGATCCAGCTCCATGGCTTCGCCAAGTTCTGGCTTGACCGCTGCCGTGGGGATCTCCGTCCTGGCTTTCAGCTTCGTCTCGGCGATCATCGTGGTCGCGATTTATTGTCTCAAGAGGAGCTTCTCGCATAGATCAGAGCCGATCGGATTTATTTCGCTGGAACAAGGTAGGCACTCTTTTCCCTTTCTTTCTCCATCTAAGTAGTGGAATGTTTTTCACCAGTTGCTTGGAAGAAGGAAGCTAACAGCATTGATGTTCCAACGCAAGCACGCCCCTTCCAGCTCCTGGAAATCAAAGTTGCTACCGAGAGCTTTAGCAGGAAGCTTGGAGAAGGAGGATTCGGGCCAGTTTATCACGGGATTCTCCCGGACGGCCATGAAATCGCAGTGAAGGTCCAGTCCTATGATTCCAAGCAAGGAGCGAACGAGTTCTTCAACGAGGTAAGCCCTTTGAAACACTGTTCTTTGTTTTGCTCTTGTTACAGTGGTATCACTCCAGGTCCAACTCCTGTCAAGAGCTCACCATCGTCACGTCGTCTCGCTGGTTGGCTACTGCCACGAAGCGAATTCTCGGATGCTAGTTTACGAGTATCTCTCTGGAGGAACGCTCGAAAGAAGCCTTCACGGTAAGATAGTTTACTCGTCATGAATCGACTGCCATTGTTCTGGAACTCCAGATATCAGCTCGAAGACACTCTTCTCTTGGAAAACCAGGCTGAAAATCGCGCTTGATGCTGCCAAAGGTACGTTTTCGTGCTGTCGATGTTTTCGAGGAGCTCATTCACTCTTGCAGGGATCGAGTACCTGCACTGCGGCTGCAATCCTCCAATCATCCACCGAGACTTGAAGAGCGGCAACATCCTCTTGACGAGCGCAATGCAAGCCAAGGTTGCGGACTTTGGCCTCTCAAAGCTGGTGGAGGGAAGTCGCATCTTTACAGCAGTCAAGGGTACGTCAGGCTATGTCGATCCTGAGTATGTTCTTCATCTCTTCCCATGATCTATCTTTCTCTTTGCGATACTGATCATTCAATCGTATTTTGGATGACACAGGTACTATGAAACTCAAGAGCTAACACAAAAGAGCGATGTTTACAGCTTTGGGGTGGTGCTGCTGGAGATCATCTCCGGAAGAGAAGCTTTGATCGACACCCCCAAGCCTCGCAAACAGCTCAAACTCAGCGATTGGGTAACTAAGAATTTGTTCTTTCCTTCTTCCACTTTTTCCATCGCTATAGCCGAGTCGCTCTTTCTTCCAGGCCAGGGGCTTCTTGCTGGAGCGGCGAATCCACAAGATCATAGACCCCATCTTCGACGCTGTCTATAACATCGAATCCATCTGGAAAGCCGCGGAGCTCGCCATGTTTTGCGTGGAGCCTCGAGCTGTCCACAGGCCTGCAATGCCGGAAGTTGTCCAAGAGCTAAAGCAAGCGCTGGACATCGAGGAAGGGAGAATCACTGTAGCAACGATCGAGGCTGCGACGCCCACGCCCTTGGCTCCCGTCCAGGCCGCAAAACACCACCACGCGCGTTCCGAGCCAGTTTACTACCATCAAAACACTCGAAACTTTAGCTTCGGAACTTCTGAAGACGAATCTTACAGCTTCTCGAATTTGCGAGAGGTAAAAACAACTGAAGGAGAAACAACAACTTAGCTCGTAACAGTCGCTGGAAGAGTGAAGACCCGAGACCCAGGACTGAGAGAATGAACTTAACTAGGACGAAGCAGCGTGAAAGGTCGGACGAAAGAAGATCAACATAGTAAACGTAGCTCTCGACTGAACGATGAGATCAAAGGAAGGAAAAAAAAACCAGAGAACTTAGCTGCAAGTGGAGAATGGAGATCGAACGGAAGAAGATCCATAGCAAAAGTAGTGAACTTAGCTCTGAACTGAAAGATCCGATCAAAGGAAGCAAAGAAAAAAAATAAACCAGAGCACTTAGCTGCAAGAGGAGAATGGCAGTGGCGTGCTACACCATGGACACACCGTGGAAGGATCGCTCTCGAAGAAACTGGCCAGGCGCATGGTTGTCTGGAGGGAGATCTTATTGGAGGAGATCATGTGAGTCAGCACGTGACTCAGCTTCTTGTTCCAGAGGCCCTCCACGTAGGCGAGAACCACGTCCCACGTCGGCAGCCCCACGGCGATGGCGTCCAGGTAGACCTCGAGGAATAGCTGATCGTAGTCGCGCAGTGGCATGCCATAATCCTGCTTCATCCCTTCCAGCCGCCGCAAGAGTAGCGATCGATCGCCGCGGCAGCTCCCCCAGTCGTCGTTGGGCATGAAGAATCTGACGAGCTCGGTCTTGAGCTCCTTCCAGCTCCGGATCCCTGGCGCCCCCGCGCGGCGCTCCGGCGTGAGATTGGGGGAATTCTTGGATCGCGGCGCCCCGCCATTGCGATCTTGGTGGGCGATCTTGGATGTTGGATCGTTCTTGTTGCATGGCGATGACGAGCCGGAGCCGACAATGCGCCACCACTTGTGCGCGGCGCCCGAGAGATGGAAGACCGCGCAGTCGATCTTTTCCTGCTCGCTCATCGATGGGCCGCAAATCTGGAAGAAACCGTCCATCTTGCTCACCCATTCCTCGATCGCGTCCGCGTCCCACTGCCCCTCGTAGACGGGGAGATCCACGCCCTTCCACCTGAAAATCTCTAGCCGCTGGTGATCGAGATCGGGATCCCAGGACGAACTGGAGAGGGAATCCGGCGATGCCGATCCTGGTGCCGGTGACAAGAATCCGCCCCAGCCATTCTCGTCCTCGTCGTCCGCGAATGGAAATTCCGGGATCACCAGAGGCGAGGATCGGGGGGAGGATCTGGGCGAGCTTTGGGGCTGGATCCTCCGCGGCGAAGGCGAGGGCGACGGCTGCCGCGGCCGCTGCTCGATCGCGGGATTCTCCTCGTCGGAGCGCACGAAGAGAGGATTGGCGTGTTCTTGGGGCTGCTGCTGCTGCTGCTGCTGCTGCCGGGGCGGGATTGGGACGATCTTGACGGCGTAGTGGTGGCGAACATCACTGATGCGCGAGCAGCAGCCGCCAAGATTCAATCCCAGGCCCATCCTGGCGTTGCGCCTGGAATCCACGAACGAAGGCGCCATGGCGGGCCTGTAAAAGCCAGATTCTTTGCGCTCGCCGCTATTCATTGGCAAGAACACGAAGAACAAGGGCTCGCGCGGGGGAAAAGAAAACTCTGGGAAGAACACTAGCCCTAAGGAAATTTGACTAGTTCCGAACGTTGACGTTGACTAACATACACTCCTTTCAATGGCCCTTCTTTACACTAGAAGGAGCCTTGCATGGTCGGTATGCTGCACGACTTGATCCACATGTGCACCGAGTATGGAGCGTGGAGTGAGCAAGATTCTCAAACAACTCATAACACAGTTGCATTTTTGCATCCATCAATCTCATGCTTTAATAATGGGCACCACCAGATTATCAAAACAGAGATAGAAAGATAGTGAACGCCAGGTTTCACTGCTGCATAGTTTTCAGGTCCTTGTTTGCTCTATGAAAGCCACCATAGCAGACAAATGTGCCTTCTCCTCAAGCACTCTTTGTCCAGCTTGCCAGAGCCTTAGAGAACAACGCAAGAAAAAGAAAAGTAATGAGAGTTTCCACGAAAACTCATGAAGAACAAGACAAGCAAAAGAAAACTAGGCATACTTTCAGTATCCTAGAGGCTTAGATTGCTCAAGAAGATGTGGCATACTTTCAATACCCGCTAGGCTTAGATTGCTCCATGCTGTTCCAACAACACCACCTGGGGACTGTGTTTTCCCCTAATTATTTCAGTTTCACCACATATGGTCTTTACATTATTTGTGGTAGATATCTCTACGGTGAAGATATGATTATTGAGGTGCCGTCATTGTTCTTTCTGGATGAAGCATTGATCAGTTGGACCAGCGAGCAGCAAACTTCTATAGCTCTCTCATCAACAAAAGTTGAGTACACTAAAGCCTTGGCAGTACAAAAAGCAGTGTGGCTACAAGAAACAAATCAAAAGTCAAGCTCCACCTCTAGTGAAGAGTGACAAGCCATCTAACTATGGAATCTGAGGTATCACTCAGATAAAACACTTTGATATCAAATTCAAGAGCAGGTACGCAAGAAGATTTCCTGGAGCATATCTCTACTAAGTGCAACCAAAAGCATCTGATCTGTATATATAGTAACTCTATTGTAACTAAAATTGTGATGAGCTTAGTATATCTGCAGTCATTTCCTAGGTGGAGATATATAATCCATTCAAATTTTGCTTGATGGCACTTCGATTGTCACATCTTTACTGAATATGAATTTGAATTTAGCACTATAGCCAACAGGCAGTTTTCACCCTTTTTCCCAGTTAAAACCTGTAAAACAGGTTTACCAAACTGGTTTATTTTTCAGTCCGATTATTATTTTACCAATTTAAAAGATTCAATCAATATATTCTTTTGAATAGAGACTTTATTGCTTTTTTAACCTACCTTTTCCCAAAGAGTAAAAGTATTTTTCAGTTTTTAACGCCCATGTTTAATTCTATAATTTTCAAAATGTTCTATTTTCCATTCGAGAAAGTTATATGAAATTTCTGCCCTAAACATAAGAGTTGATGATATTCTAAACTCACGCTTTTTGAGTCTGTAACCTTATGATTTTTAGAACAGCAGCTGCATAGATGACGCCACAAGGCTGTTCGATGCAGATAGCCATGATCACCGCTTGTGCCGACCGCCCGTTTGGACGACACGGCAAGGTTCCCAGAGCAGGACATGTTCTCTTGGGATGCCCTCCTAGCCCCACTGCATTTGGACGTGGTGTCAACACTGATATCGGGTGGTACCCAATATCAGTGTCAGTATCGGTGGTTTC